CGGGCCCCTCATGGACGATTTCTCCTTCGTGAGCCCGGTGGTCAAGTACGTGCTCTTCTTCTTCAACCTGCTCTTCTGGGTGAGTGCGGGGGCACCGGGACACCCCATTCCCCGAGGATGTCCGCGCCCTGGGGCTGTTCCCATCGCTGCACCCCATTGGGACACCGCCATCCCCAGGGACCCCCAGCCCTGGGATCCCACCGGGACCACCTTGGGGCTCTCTCCGTCCCTGTTGGGATCCCTCATCCCCAGGGACCCCCCATCCCCAGGGATCCCACATCCCTTGGGGTTGTCTCCATCCCCGATCCCTGTGGGGATCCCCCATCCCCAGGGACCCCCAGCCCTGAGATCCCACCAGGACCACCTTGGGGCTCTCTCTATCCCTGATCTCTATTGGGATCCCCCATCCCCAGGGATCCCTCATCCCCAGTGACCCCCAGCCCTTGAGGCTCTCTCCATCCCCGATCCCTGTGGGGATTCCCCCATCCCCAGTGACCCCCCAACCCTTAGGGTTCTCTCCATCCCCGATCCCTGTTGCGATCCCTCATCCTCAGGGACCCCCCATCCCTTGGGGCTCTCTCCATCCCCGATCCCTGTTGGGATCCTCCTGGGCCTCTCTCCACCCCTGGACCTATTTGGGACCCCACATTCCCGGGATCCCCTGACCCGCCTCCATCCCCAGGACCTCACCAGGAACCCCTTGACTTTGGAGCTGTCCCCATCCCCTGATCCCCACTGGAATCCACTCTCCTCGCAATCCCTGGAGCCCCCCAAGCCCAGTGACCCCTCATTCCCGAGGGATTCCTGCTCCCTGGGAATGTCCCCATCCCTGGACTCCACTGGGATCTCCTGTTCCAGAATCTCCAGAAGGAGTTTCCCCGTTCCCTGAGAGTTTTTGGGGTCCTTTGGTCCTTCCTGGCCCCACACAGGTGACAAACCTCCCAGGGAGGGGGACAGAGGCCCTTCTTGTCCCCAACCCATCCCAGAGATATCTCCTGCAGGGAAACCACAGTTTTCCATATTTGGGGGCTTTTTTTATTATTTTTTTTTAATATTTTGAGGGATTTTTTTTTATGTTTTTGAAAAGTTTTATGTTTTGAGTATTTTTTTTTTATGCTTCAAGGACTTTTTAAAAATGCTTTGAAGATTTTTGCACCGCTTGGGAGATTTGAGGATTTTTTTTATGTTTTGGGGATTTTAAAATGCTTTTGGGTTTTTTGGGGGTTTTTTTTTGCAAGTTTTGGGGGGGTTTTTTTGCGGGTTATTTCCGCGTTTGCAATCCTATTTTTGAGGAAGTTTCTCGCTTCCCATAAACCACGAGCCTGTGTCCAGCGACCTGCAGAGGAACAGCGCTGGCTGGCGGGAGGTGGGGACAGAGGTGACCTCCTGGGAGGTGGGGACAGAGGTGACCACCCAGGGGGTGGGGACAGAGGTGACCTCCCAGGGGGTGGGGACAGAGGTGACCTCCCAGGAGGTGGGGACAGAGGTGACCACCTAGGGGGTGGGGACAGAGGTGACCACCCAGGGGGTGGGGACAGATGTGGCCTCCCAGGGGGTGGGGACAGAGGTGACCACCCAGGGGGTGGGGACAGATGTGACTTTCCAGAAGGTGGGGACAGAGGTGACCACCCAGAAGGTGGGGACACAGTGGACACCGTGTGACGAGGGGAAACTGAGGCAGCCCCTGCAGTTCTGCTGCCCCGTTTCCATCCCTGGCTCTGAGGTGGGGACATAGGTGTGGCACGGGGCTGGTGACAGCTGCGGGGTCACCTCTGTCCCTCTGCAGATGATCTCCATGGTGATGGTGGCCGTGGGGGTCTACGCCCGGCTGCTGAAGCACGCAGGTGAGCTCAGGGGTGGTTCCCAGCCAGTTCTGGTGCTCTGGGGGCTGTGATGGGGGGTCCTGGGGGTGCTGGCAGTGCCGGTGACAGCTCTGGTGACAGAGGCAGCCATGGCGTGCCTGGCGGTGGACCCCGCCATCCTCCTCATCATGGTGGGCGTCCTCACCTTCCTCATCACCTTCTGCGGCTGCGTCGGCTCCTTGCGGGAGAACATCTGCCTGCTGCAGATGGTGAGTCCTGCAGGGGCTGGGGGACCTGGTGGCATCTCAGTGTCCCCTCCCATGGTCCCCTCACCGTCACATTCCTTTTCCTGCAGTTCTCCATCTGCCTGACCATCATCTTCCTCCTGCAGCTGGCGGCTGGCGTGCTGGGCTTTGTCTTCTCCGATAAGGTACCGAACCCAGAGGGTGGGATGGGGAGCCCAAACCTGGTGGGGGTGATGGGTGACCCCACTCGTGTCACCCGCTGGGTGACAGCCTCGCTGGTGTCCCCCAGGCACGTGGGAAGGTCAGCGAGGTCATCAACGGAGCCATCGTGCATTACCGGGATGACCTGGACCTGCAGAACCTCATCGATTTTGGGCAGAAGGAGGTGACCGGGGTGGGGGTCTGCAGGGTTGGGGTGTCCCTCCAGTAGATCAGGACATGTCCCCACTTCTTAAATCTGTGGGGTGGCACAGCTTGGGGACGTTGGATGGCTCTGGCAAGAGGATTTGGTGTTTGTGGTGATGTCCTGCATGGGCAGGGCGAGGCTGGGGAGAGCTGGGGGCACCAACAGCCCTGGTCTGTCCCCCTGCCATGGGCTGCTGTCCCCTCGGCGCCGAGCCCCGTGTCCTGCCCGCAGTTCAGCTGCTGCGGGGGTGTCTCCTACAAGGACTGGTCCCAGAATGTGTATTTCAACTGCACGGCCACCAACCCCAGCCGTGAGCGCTGCTCCGTGCCCTTCTCCTGCTGCCTGCATGACACCGAGCAGGTCAGTCCTGGGGGTGGCCTCGGGGGACACTGCCCTGTGCCTGTCCTGCTGTGCCCTGGGGCTGTGCTGGGCCTGGAGCCCTGTCCTGTGCCCGTCCTGCCGTGCCCTGGGGCTGTGCTGGGCCTGGAGCCCTGCCCAAGGGGAGGGAACATGCTGGTGGCAACAGATGGACCCCATCCCACTTTTGGGGTTTGGGTTCTCCTGTCCTACCTTCGGGGTTTGGGTTCTTCCGTCCCACACTCTGGGTTTGGGTTCCACATCCCACTTTGGGGTTTGGGTTCCCCATTGCACACTCTGGGTTTGGGTTCCCACACTCTGGGTTTGGTTTCCCCATCCCACCTTTGGGGTTTGGGTTCCCCATCCCACCTTTGGGGTTTGGGTTCCCCATCCCACCTTTGGGGTTTGGGTTCCTCCACCCCACACTCTGGGTTTGGGTTCCTCCATCCCACACTCTGGGTTTGATTTCCCCATCCCACCTTTGGGGTTTGGGTTCCCCATCCCACGTTTGGGGTTTGGGTTCCCCATCCCACCTTTGGGGTTTGGGTTCCCCATCCCACCTTTGGGGTTTGGGTTCCCCATCCCACTTTGGGGTTTGGGTTCTCCTGTCCTACCCTCTAGGTTTGGGTTCCTCCATCCCACACTCTGGGTTTGGGTTCCTCCATCCCACACTCTGGGTTTGGGTTCCCCATCCCACCTTGGAGTTTGGGTTCCCCATCCCACTTTGGGGTTTGGGTTCCCCATCCCACACTCTGGGTTTGGGTTCCCCCATGCCACAATCTGGGATTGGGTTCCCCATCCCAGCCTTTGGCTTTGGGGACATTTCCTGGGTGGAAATGCTGTGGTGAGCCGGGGGAGAATTCTCCCTCTCGAGCTGGGATTGGCTCTTTGGGGACAGGTGGCTCTGGAGGGCTGGCCTGGGGACACCAAGGAAGGGGACACCCCACCAAGGCAAGGCCAGAGCTCCTGGTCACCACACGGCTGCCCCCCAAGAACCGGGACCCCAGTGTGTCCTGTCCCCTCTCCCAGGCCGTCATCAACACCATGTGTGGCCACGGGATGCAGGCCAGGGGCTACCTGGAGGCCAGTGCCTTCATCCACACCAACGGCTGCATCGACAAGCTGGTCAACTGGACCCACAGCAACCTCTTCCTGCTGGGGGGCATCACCCTGGGGCTGGCCCTGCCCCAGGTACGGGGCTGGGGCACTGCGGGGGACAAGGCTCCGTCCCAAAGCTCTGCTTGTGGGGTTTTTTGGGGTGCTGCCTTAATGGCATTAATCCTAAATGGATTGCCAGATTGGGATGGGATTTGGGGTGGGGCAGTGATGCAGATGTCAGGCATGGGGGGAATGGGGTGACACCGCCTGGTGTTGCTCAGTGCCTCCCTCTCCCGTTCTCCTTCTTCCCTCTCCCTTTCTGTCCCCACTTCCTCTTCCATTTCCGCTTTCCTTTCCCATTTCCTTCCTGGTTCCCCTTCCTCTTTCTCTTCCTTTCTTGTCCCCTCTTCTCCCTCCCCTCTATCTCATTTCCCCTTTCACTCTCCCCATCCCCTCCCTCTCCCCATCCCCTCCATCTCCCCATTCCCTCTCTCTCCTATCTACCCCCCCTTCCTCTCCCCCTCCCT